AGGTATGGTTAATTACCATGTTTGTCTATTATTAGATAGGATAACCAATGGACACAGACACTGGGGTGGTGGGGGCTTGTCCTGGGCGGTGGGAGTGGCGGGGGAGGGGTTGATGAGGGAAAAAGGAGACATATGTAGGTAAGAAAGAAAAAAAGAAAAAGGTCCCCTGCCCTCCACCCCACCCTCATCACCACCCTAACATCCTAACTGACTTCTTTAGCAAACTCCATTTTTCCCAAGTCCATTGTTCTGGATATTATAATAGGGCTGGTGTAGAGTCTTTGGATTTTTTCTATTTCATTTTTTTTAACTCCTTCAAAAAATTTAGTGGTTATCTATACTAATAAAAGGGTAATATGCTAATTAAACCGGACGTCTTCTGGACGTTCTTCCAGACAAAGCCATAGTGGCAGGGCCTAGGCAGAGGTAGTTAGGGTGATCAGGTTGGCAGGGGAGGGCAGTTAGGGGCGATCAGGCCAACAGGGGAGGGCAGTCAGGGGCCATCAGGCTGGCAGGCAGAGGCGGTTAGGGGTGATCAGGCAGGCAGGCAGGCAAGCGGTTAGGAGCCAGCAGTCTCGGATTGTGAGAGGAATGTCCCAGATTGGAGAGGGTGCAGGCCGGGCTGAGAGACAACCCCCCTCCCATGCATAAATTTCGTACACTGGGCCTCTAGTTATAAAAATAATACTCATTTTACATATGGAGAAACTGAAACACAATTAAGTAACTTAGCAGAGTCACCAAGCTAGTAATGGGCAGAGCCAGGGTTTAAATTCTGACAGTCTGACCCCCAAGTTCATGTACCCAACCTACAGAAAAACATAGAATCCCAATAAAAGGAAATTTATTGAGGAATTTATTTATCTGATTATATCACAGCTAGAGAAATACATAAAATTAGCTATGAATGGTACGGATTCTATCATCTGAGAGTAATATTATTAACTATTAATGATGTACTTCTACATCATTTTCACACATAAATACCTCCCAATGAAGGGATGTGTCACTTGTTATCTTATTTGTCAGCTATATTCTATGAAAAAACCAAACTTCTAGGAGGAGGAGATAGAGGAAGGGAGGGGGAGGATATGTTCTGATCAAAAGGTAAAAAGAAAAAAAAATGCAGTTGATGTAAAACAGAAATAGAAATTTTGAATCATATTCAAAATATTGATTTTATATACATACATATATATGTTAATATATGCTAATGTATATGGCATAGGTTATATCTATATATATAAAGAGCCAGGGGCCATCACATCCAAAACAACCGAACAGACAACTGAACAAGCTGTGTGGGGCGACCAGGCTGGCAGAGGGGTTAGTGAGGGACGACCAAATGACTGAACAACAGGCTGTGTGGCACGACCAGGCCAGCAGGGGGGGTTAGTGAGGGACAACCAAACGACTGAGCAGCAGGCTGTGTGGGGCGACCAGGCCGGCAGGGGTGTTAGTGAGGGATGACCAAACGACTGAACAGGAGGCTACGTGGGGCGACCAGGCCAGCAGGGGGGGACTGTGAAGAGCAACCAAGCCGGCAGGGGTGGGCAGT